CTGACAGAGTGTGTCTGCTTCCCGGACAATGTTAGGAAGACTGTTCCAGAGTTTTAGTGCTAAATAGGAAAAGGATCTCCCACCTGCAGTCGATTTTGATATTCTAGCTATTATCAACTGGCCGGAACTTTGAGATCGCAGTAGACGTGAAGGACTAATGCGTTCAGGGATATGAATGGCTAATGCGGGCGGAGATATGAATGGAGGCTTAATTCACTGGGAGGTATTGTGTGTCACTAAATTGCAGTGTCTAGTGTGGAAACAAGCACGTTTGAAGTCTCAAGTGTTTTACTAATTGCACAAGTGTGGGAAATTCTAAATTCTACTTCCACTCGTAGTCCCAGCTGCTCCTCGGGGTGGTGTTTCAGTTTAGGGGTGGACGGCCCACTGTTGTCAGTCTCTGTCGCAAGGAATGAAGAATCACCATAGACAGTAAAAAAAATGGACAGAGCGATCTCATTGGAACTTCATTGAGACGATTGAAGCCCGTTTTTGGCGATTTTTTAGCACTTCCATCCCCGACGCGCAGACTCAAACAGAGCTTGACAACGTAATGTGACGAGAGAAACCCGTCTGTCTTCTAGTGCTGTGGCATGAGAAATCTGAATCATTCCCTTCCGAAACATGCAGAGGCGGAGAGTGTGAATAGGAGCTGTCCATGAGCTAAGAGAAGGAGACAATTCTGCTAGGTATTCTGATTAATTATTTTGTCATTTTGCCTCCACGTTTCCCCGATTGCACGTGAGCTTCTCCTCCTGTCCATACGGTAATCTCTCTACGTGCGACAGAGAGTCACGTGGGTATGACGCAATCGTTAGCCTACTTTCACTAAAACTGCTTCTACGGGGCCATAACATAAGCTACAAGGTAATGGAGCTATTTATACATTGTCGTGTTTCTTTAGAAATAAATAAACTACAAATGGGGTCTTCCAATAAAGAAACATTGTTATTTATTTTAACCTCCTCATGTGTTTCCACGGTCTGCTCCTCAGGGCGGTGTTTCAGTTTAGGGGTGGGCGACCCGTTGTAGCTCACCCCTACCTGCTGTGACAAAGTGGCGTAGTCGGCAGGGTCCGTCTGAGTTGAGCAACTGTGGACCATGGGGAGACCAGTTTTTTTTTTTCCCTGTTCCAGGGACTGGAACGGACTGGTGGGGGAGGATGTCACCGGATGATTAGGTGATTATTAAGAGGATTAGTGGCAGGTGTGGAGGAGGAGGAGCTTGAGTGGTGATTGGGGCACATGCTCCCAAAGTGGAGTATAAAAGAAAGCCATTTTGAAGAGAGAGAAATTTTGGGGAAAAGAGAAAGAGTGAAGACACTCGGAGGGAGGCACAGAAAGGCAGCGGAGGGAAGCCGCGGAAGAAGAAAACTTATGGTATGTTTATTCCTCACAAAGTCTGGAGAACCCCAAGCCAGCGGCACGAAGGATCCCGCCGGAGATATGAATGGAGGCTTAATTTACTGTGAGGTATTGTGGATTGCACAAGTATGGCAAGAAGCACGTTTGAAGTCTCGAGTATTTTACTGATTGCACGAGTGCGGAAAATTCTGAATTCTACCTCAATCGTAGTCCCAGCTGTTGTTCAGTCTCTGTCGCCAGGAATGAAGAATCACTGAGCCGGTGTGCGAATGAGAAACTATGAGCAGTTATTGATCCTCTGATGTTCAGAGCTGGAGGAACCATTGAGCCGGTGAGCGAATGAGAAGTTATGAGCTGTTACTGACCCTCTGATGTTCAGAGCTGGAGGAACCATTGAGCTGGTGAGCGAATGAGAAGCTATGAGCTGTTACTGACCCTCTGTTGTTCAGTCTCTGTCGCCAGGAATGAAGAATCACTGAGCCGGTGAGCGAATGAGAAGCTAAGAGCTGTTACTTAGGGCCCTATAAATTCCGCGATCACGGAATCGCGGACGGAATCGCGGAATTGGCCAATTAACGTGGAATCTAGTGTTAACCTGGAATTTCGCGGAATTTTACATATTTGGAATGAAATTCTTTTTTGTGTGGGAGAAGAATGTATGTCTGTGGAAAATGCAGACGGGGAAGCAAATCTGGGCGAAGTAACCCCTCCCGTTATCCTCCACGGCTCTGTTTTCGTCGGCGAAAAAGTTAAGAAACTCAACGCACGCACACGCACACCCCCATCCCCTCCGTACACGTCTTTCTTATGAGGTGCCGGACTGGACAAAATCGAAGTGACATTGCGCGAGAGAGAGTGTGTCCGAGACCCCGTTTACACCTGGAATTAAAATGAGATCTGTATCCAGATAAGTTATCCGGATAATAAGTCAATCAATCAATCAATCATTTATTTATAGAGCACATTTAAAACACAACCGAGGTTGACCAAAGTGCTTTACAAGGAATAAAAGAGACACAGATATAAAACTGCAATACAAACTTAAAACTAAATGAGACAAGAAGGCACTAAAAAAAAAATATAATAATAATAATAATAATAATAATAATAAAAAGAAAAACAGAGAAAACAGGAAGACAGATTACAGGGTGTTAAAAGCCAGGGTGAATAGATGAGTCTTGAGTTGAGATTTAAAAGTACAGATAGATGGAGCTTGCCTAATTGCAGGAGGAAGGCTATTCCACAGCTTTGGCCCAGCAGCAGCAAAAGCACGCTCACCACGTTTTTTGAGATTAACTTTAGGGACTGTAAGATGGCCAAGGTCAGAGGATCTCAGATTTCTAGAAGGAGTGTACGGAGTCAGAAGATCAGTTAAATATTGAGGAGCCAAGTTATTCTGAGTTTTATAGACAAATAATAAAATTTTAAACTCAATCCTATACTTTACTGGGAGCCAGTGCAAAGACATTAAGATAGGTGTTATGTGGTCAAACTTTCGCTTCCCCTCAAGTAGTCTAGCGGCAGCATTTTGGACCAACTGTAGACGCGAGATGGAAGCCTGAGAAATACCATAATACAGAGAATTACAGTAATCAAGCCTCGATGTAATAAATGCATGAACAGCTGTTTCCAAATTTCTCCTGGATAAGACGGGCTTCACTTTACTGAGAAGGCGAAGTTGATAAAAACATGATTTGACAACCGAGGAGATCTGTTTATCAAAGTTTAAACTGGAGTCAAAAAGGAAGCCCAAATTTCTGGCACACTTTGTGTTATAAGGGGAGAGACAACCCTGGTCAAAATCGAAAACACAGTTTTCTTTGGGGCCGAAAATAATAAACTCCGATTTATTTTCATTTAAGTTTAAGAAATTACTTGAAAGCCATGACTTCAGTTCATTTAGACAATCTAGCAGCGGCTGAAGAGTATATTTGTTGTTACGTTGCAAGGGCAGGTAGAGCTGTGTATCATCGGCATATAGATGAAAAGAAACACCATGTTTTTTAAAAATAGCAGCCACAGGGAGCAGATACAAAGAAAACAACACAGGCCCAAGGATTGAACCCTGAGGAACACCACAACCAAGGTGCTTGTTAGTGGATGAGTAATGTCCCAAGTGAACAGTAAAACATCTATCTGACAGGTAAGAGTGAAACCACTGTAAAACAGAACCGCGAAGTCCTACACAAGACTCCAAGCGTGACAGAAGAATGTTGTGGTCGACTAAATCAAAAGCAGCACTTAGGTCTAGCAGGACCAAAGCCATTTGTTTTCCTGAATCAGTGGTGAGATAAATATCATTTAAGACTCTTAAAAGAGCAGATTCAGTGCTATGTAGTGCTTTAAAATCTGATTGAAAAACTTCATTTTTTCTGTTTTAATTTTTGCAAATTCCGTTTTTTCCGTTTTAATTTTTGGAAATTCAGTTTTTGCACAGTCCAAAATTCGCATCCGAAATTTTTGCACGTTAAAAAATAAATACGACCTCACGTTATGTCAATCACGCTTGCACACTGCCTCCGAAACTTTCGTCCGTCAGAAAAAAAATCGATTCGGGTTCGATTTTCTGTGTTTTTTGCATCCGTAGCTACCAGTTTGAATGGAGTTTGAATGGTGTTTGAATGGTGTTTTGACAATTCAGAGCCACTGAATCACGAATACGAAAAAGCACATATGAAAATTTCGGACTCAGTGTGCAATGGCCTTAACAGTGAATACTCATGCCATTTTTCCTAATGATATCTCCTAATGGTAACATGTACAAAGTGAACAGCAACAGTCCTAGTACTGAGCCTTGTGGTACGCCATACTGAACATGTGATTGATAAGCCATCTCTTCATTTACTGCTACAAACTGATAACGGTCAGATAAGTATGATTTAAACCATGCTAATGCAATTCCACTAATGCCAACATAGTTTTCTAGTCTATTTAAAAGAATATTTTGGTCAATAGTATCAAATGCAGATCGAGTAACACTAATGGAGAGATACAACCACGATCGGATGATAAGAGCAAATCATTTGTGACTCTGATGAGAGCAGTCTCAGTACTATGGTACGATCTAAATATTCGCAGATATCATTTCTTTCTAAAAAGGAACATAGTTGTGAGGATACTGCCTTTTCTAGTATCTTTGACAGAAAAGGTAGATTTGAGATTGGCCTGTAATTGACTAATTCTGTTGGATCAAGTTGCATTTTTTTTAACAAGCAGTTTAATCATAGCCAGCTTAAAAGATTTACATAAAAGATGTTACATATCCTAATGACAAAGATGAATTAATGATATTAAGAAGAGGATCTATGACCTCTGGAAGTATTTCTTGCAATAGCCTAGTCAGTATAGGGTTAACAGGCTAGCGAGATACAAGCATGTTGTGCTAGCGATTATGGTTTAGATAAAAGCTAACAATGTCAGATTAATGTGATTGCCCATTTAGATGTATTAAATACAGTTATTTTCTGAACAAATTAAATGGAAATTTAATCTTAATCACAGAGTCATTTAGAATCAGAGTTTCATGAGATGTCTCTGCAGTGAGTTAAGTAATTTGCTATTCTGTGAATAACTGCTATTCTGTAAATACTTTGTCCTTTTCCTCTGACCTTTCTCTCTTTCTTCTTTTTTCCCCAGATGTTGGTTGGGCCACTGCCAGCAGGAAAGGGTGCAGCATGTCTAACATGTAAAGGGATCTGCTCTGGGTTCCAGCCACATTCCTGGAGGTAATTTATTCTCTTGACTAAAGATGAAAAAAGAGAGGAAAGGGCTTCTACGCCTGCCTCAGTTCTCTGGATGTGGAAAACTGGATTAATGAGTGTGAGTTATGAGTGCTTCTGTGTGAACTGAATGGGCTCAGTGTTTTCAGAATGTCATGACTTTGGTGCTTGCCTAATTAATCTGTCTATATTAATTATATGATGAATATATAATAATATAAACACTGTCATTTTTAAATCAATAATCAAATCTACTTTACTGCTATGGGGGGGGGGGCTTACCTGGGGCCTGTACCAGTGACTAGCTGAACAAAACCATGTTTACAAGATTGGTTTTGATTTGACAAAACCAAACACATCTAAGCCGGCTTAAGTGGTACGACTACACTGCTGCTACTACAAAAATTTTCTGGTTAACCCAGGATTTTTTTTTCAGCAAACAGCTTCATCACATGACCACTGTCTGCTAATAGGATTAGCGTGATTTCACGTGTGGTCAAGACTTCATCTTCAGGTCGCTTGAGAGACACTGATTCACTAAGGTCCCTGGCCAGGGAGGATTGTCACCGCTATGATATTAAATCTGGTCTCTCCCAAAACTCTGCGGCTTCTAAACTGCCGTTCACTTCCGCAATGATTTAATTACTACTAATAGTTCTGCCCCACTGGGGGTAAGGCTAGGTGTCCCTCAAGGGTCTATCCTTGGTCCGGTCCTATTTACCATTTACATAAACACCATTGCCTCTGTAGCAGATAATGGCAAAAGTTATGCAGATATTGTTCCGCCCCCACCCTAGCACAAGCTTCTCATTCACTACAGCAATTTTTTTATTTACTGCAGGCTACCTTCATTGATCTCAGACTGGTTTTAAACACTGGTAATACTAAGGGGATGTAGTTCACAAAGTCTCGCACAGTGCCTGCATTAACCGCCTAAGCCATTTTCACACTGGATGGGAAGTGTTGAAAATGTTTCATCTTAGAGATATCTTGGTCTGTGGGTTGTTCATATTGATAAATTAGTGAGAAAGCTTGAGAGTAAAGCTTGGTTTTTATTTTAGAAATAAATCCTGTTTTACTTTCCAAGCTAGGAGGAAATTGATCAGTGCCACTTTCTTAGTCTTGGACTATGGGGATGTTATTTATATGCATGCGGCCTCTACCACGCTGCACACACTTGACACAGTCTACCATGGTACATTACGGTTTATTAAAGTCATTAACGGTAATTTACCCAGCTATCTTTAATAGTCTGTTGACCTGGAATTACTCCATTTACAATCTCCACTCCGTTAACATTCTGGCTCTACATATCCATGCATAACAACTGAATATGGTAAGACGGCTTTAATTATGCTGCTCCTTGGTGTTGGAATTTGCTCCAAAAAGTATTTCAGCCTTCTGTTTTTATCCCATTTGAACATTTTAAACAATTACAACAAATTTGAACAATCCACATGTTTTCAATTACCACTTTAAGTCATTCTTAAATTCTTTTCCATGTACTGTAAATTTGTTTTGTTTGTTGTGTTTATGTGATTCTGTGTAACTTGTGTAATTGCCCCAGGGCTCCCTTGTAAAATAACTTATTAACCCTTCAACTTTTTTTTTTTTTTTTATAAAATCAAACCTATTAATGAAAGATTTTCATCAAACTCATCCAGAAGTTTCCTGGTCCTTACCGAAGCCCATAAAGCATATCCTCTAGCTTTACTCTCACCAGCCCATCCTCTGTTAGTAATTGCTCAAACTAGCTCATCTACTTATCAGTTAGATCCAGCACCTACCTCACTAAGCTGCCTATCTGTTATCTCATCTCCTGTTGCTCATTTGATCACCTGTTCTATTTCATCCAGGTCTGTCCCACTATCATTAAAATGGCTGCGGTCACTCCTATTTTAAAGAAACCAGATTATGGGGCTAAATTATTCTCTTCTGTTAAGAATAATTTCATACCTATATCGAATCTTTATTTCATTTTTAAGCTGCTTGAAAAAGTAGTTACATGCTCATCTCTATGCTGACAATCTTCTCGATCCCTATCAATCTGACTTTCGGTCAGGCCACAGCATTGGTAAAAATTACTAATGACCTTCTAATATCTTCTGATTCTGTTGTCTTACTGTTCTCATAATGCTTATAACTTAAGATCAGCTTTTGACACTATAGGTAGTGCTTTATCTTGGTTTATATCATATCTTGTTAAAAGACATTTTTTTATTACTGTCCATAACTTTAATCTTCTGTGTGTTCTCTCATGAACACAAGAAATACATTTTACTTATTTTCGATGTAAGTACATAGTCCTTAAAGCTACTTAATATAAAGTGGGAACACTGTGCCCAATAAACTACAATCTATCTTAATTTTTGCAGAAAAGCTTGCATACAGTGCCACTGCAGTCAGGAGGAGCATGTGTCCAGCTCCGACAGCGAAGACGACCGCATGGTGGGAAGATTGCTGGCAGAGTCCCGCTATGCCCATCTCACCGCTAAGGTTAAGGGAGGAAACGGAATGAGGATCTACAAACGCAACCGCATGATTGTCACCAACCCAGTGGTCTCCCGTAAAGACCCAACATTCAACACGGTCACCTATGACTGGGTCCCACCAGGCCTCACCCAGAAACTGGTAAGAGAACCATGGAAGCCTTGGCTCCTTTATATTTAGTAGTTTACCATGGTTGCAGTCAGGCGGTGGTACTGTGGTAAATATTCCTAGCGTTAGTATTTTACCAGCTAAAATGTCTAAGCCCTGAACAACAAGGTGAAAAACAAAAATTACAAGCTGTGCTTTAGTTTTGTCTTCTGAGGATAAAATTAGGCTCCTGGAATTACCATGAAATCAGAATCTTTAACTTTTGCAGACAGCAGCACAACAGTATACTACAAATCTTATGTGTGTTCTCTCTCTCAAGGTGTCCCTCTATGCTCTGTTCTTGGACCACTTCTGTTCAATATTTATTTGTTACCTCTTGGTCACATTATCCATAGTCACGGTCTCAGCTGTTATGTTCCATCTCTGCTTGGCCACAGCTCGCCAAATCTATCTCACCAAGTCTACCACACTCCATATTTTACCTCAACTCCTCCTTTCTAACGCCCCAGTGACACCCAGTGTCAAACCAAACCAAATCAGTCCATCTTTTACCTCAACTCCTCCTTTCTAACGCCCCAGCGACACCCAGTGTCAGCAAGAACATAACAGAGCTTACACCAATGAAAACCCTCTTTCGAGGGTTTATAACTATAATAACTTTTTTTTAAAATAACTTTATTTTAAAATAACTTTTTTTTAAATAACTACTGTCAAGATTTATTGAAGACACGCATTTATAAAAGTGCTGAAAAGGCATGGACATAGTTATATTTAGTTTTGTTGTTATTGCATATGCATTTGTAGGCATTTCCCTTTCAATTCAGACAGAGAGTTCCCCTTCAGGGACTACCGCTGCGTGTAATCGCAGTGGGAACGCCCTCAGCGTGACGCGTCTGAAGCATGAATGAAATCAGTCAATGGAGAGAATGAGAGTACGGCTAGTGACGTCATCGACCAGGAAGCTATAAATATCTCCTGAGCACACAAGCCGCCAGCTTTTGTTACTTCAGCAAGCTCTGTATGTGTGTCTGAAATCTATCGATTGTGTTTGTCTGTTTTAGACAGGAGTTTCTCACTATATATACATATATATAAAAAAAACAATATGAGCAAGCAGTAAAGCTATATGTGGCTTGTTTGGGAGTGCAGCATGCCCAGTCGGCTCTCGAGGGAGTCGATTGTGAGCATTGCGAGCGCTTTCCTCTGCGAACTCTGCACTCGTGGCGATCGCTCTTCGAGGAGAGTGGTATGCTGCGAGCTCCTCAAGGCTCGGGTCCCGCTTCTGTTGAGGCAGAGCGACGGCGCTTGTCCTGGGGTTCGCAGTTGGATCTCACCGGCGATGTTGAGAACGGGCCCCGCCCTATCTCGGCTTTCTCCGGCGGGATCCAGTGCCTCTCACCCGGTGGAAGCACGCGCTGCGGTGGTTACTTCTGCCCGTGTAGAGGCACATGATGATGTTGAATTGAGATTATCGAGTTCTGAGGAGCTGGATGTCGAAAGTTTTGCATCAGAGGAAACTAGTTTGTCACAGTATACTGCAAATGAAGAAGGTTTTATGTATGTGTTTTCTCAGGCTGTTGAAAAGCTCAGTATCGAGTGGCCGGCTGATAGACAGGAATCTAATAGTAAAATTAAACTATATTATAGATTTCTGTCTGCACGACCTTAACCTTCTCGCCGGTGCTTACTGTTCTTCCCAGATCTTCATGCTGAGGTAGACCTGGGTTAAACCGGTTTCAAGCAGAATTTACACAAATCAGTCCAATGCTTACATTGTTGGTGCTAAATCTGCTGGTTATGTGACGATACCGAAGGTGGAGGAGACGCTCGCGAGCTATCTCTCTCCAGTTTCATCATCTTCACTTAAAGCACAGGCTCTGCCCTCTGAACCACTAAAAAAAGAAAAAAAAAAAATATATATATATATATATATATATACTTCTGTGTTAGTGGGGAAGGCTTACTCGACGGCGGGTCAGGCGGCTGCATGTATATACACTATGGCCATTATGCAAGCTTTTCAGGCTGACCTGCTTAAAGATGCGGTGAGAGGGGGAAATTTATGTTGAAATGTTTAGAGCTAGAACTGCTTTCAGAAATGTTTGCCCCTTAAAGTGCGTGTCGCTGGGGCTGCTGAGCGAGGGCAGTCCCAGTTGCCGAGTACCTCAAAAAGAGCGTAGCAGAAACGAAGTGTCGCGTCTCGTGCCCCCCACCCCCCACGCAGAGAAACGGGAGGGACGAGGCGGGGCGCTCTCTGGCGCGGCCTTCTCGTGGTAGGGCTGATCTGAGGACAGTCATTATCGCCAAGAAGACAGCGTCGAGAAAAAAAAAAATCCTGACGTGCTGAACGTCATGACTCTGAGGGTGGTCCCCATCATGAAAGACTTGAGTTCACTGCACAAAAACACGGTGCCCTGTCTTTCCCGATGCCCTCAGGGGTCTGCTCTACTAACCCTGCCTTTACAGGGCGTTGAGAGACTCGACGAGCGATTTCCTGGGGGACGCTCGCCCCCTCCGAGGAGGGTTGTGGAGTGCCCAGACCAGCTGTTCCCTGCCAGTGTGTTACAGGGTGCTGTGTCTGTCACTCGGGATGTTCATCCAGAGGCTGGTTCCCTTAGTAGAGTTTCTGGCGGAATGGAAAATTCTCCCCAATGTTTCTCAGTGGGACCTCGGTTCAGAGGGGTTCTGCCCACAGTGCTGGTCCCCGAGCAGGCTCTGGTATTAGAACAGGAGGTAAAAACTCTGCTGAAAGGAGCTATAGAGCGGGTTCCTCCACCCAGCAGGGAGTTAGGACACTACAGCCGGTACTTCATCGTTCCGAAGAAAGATGGGGGGCTGCGTCCCATTCTAGATCTGCGTCTCTTAAATCGGGAAGCTCAAATTCAAGTTGCTCACTCTCAAGCAGATCGTGTCACAAATCAGATCCGAGGACTGGTTTGTCACGATAGATCTAAAGGACGCTTACTTCCATGTATCTATCCTCCCTCATGACAGGAAGTTCCGGAGGTTCGCTTTCGGGGGCGAAGCGTACTAATATCGGGTTCTTCCGTTCGGCCTAGCACTGTCACCCCGAACATTCACAAAGTGTATGGATGCTGCTATAGCCCCGTTAAGGCTGCAGGGCATCCGTATTCTGAATTATATAGACGATTGGTTAATTCTAGCTCAATCGGAACAACAGGCAGTTTGGCATCAAGGTGTCATTCTTGCTCACATCAAGAGACTGGGGCTGAGGCTCAACGCCAAGAAGAGTGTTCTTTCTCCATTACAGAGATCCACTGAGGCCCGGGGAATGGAGTCTTCACCCCAAGGTGGTGGATCTCCTTTGGAAACATTTCGGTCGTGCCGAGGTAGACCTATTTGCTTCTCGAGAAACATTACACTGCGCTGTGGTTCTCTCTTAGCCATCCAGCCCCGATGGGGTTGGATGCGATGGTACATCCGTGGCCGAGGTCACGTCTGTACGCATTTTCCCCGGTCGCACTGCTCCGGGGACTTCTGGAGAGTGTTCGCCGGGACGGGCTCAGTCTTCTGCTAATTGCCCTGTTCAGGCCGGCTCGAGTGTGGTTTGCGGACCTAATGTCTCTCCTCGACGGCTCTCCCCTGGAGATACCAATCAGGAGAGACCTACTCTCTCAGGCGTGTGGGTTGATCCTTCACCCCCGCCCAGAGCTATGGAGACTGTGGGCTTGGTCTCTGAGGGGGCCCAGCTCATAGCTTCTGGTCTCTCGACTGAGGTTGTTGAAGACCATCCTCCAATCCAGAGCTCCCTCCACGAGGAAGTTATATGCCGCGAGGTAGAAACTTTTCACCTCTTGGTGTGGAGAGCACCAGCAGGACCCAGTTAACTGCCCAGTTGGTACAGTGCTGGATTTCCTGCAGGACTGGTCTCTCCACTGGGTTATCCCACTCCACACTGAAGGTGTATGTGGCGGCCTTAGCTGCTTACCACGCCCCTTCAAGTGGAGGTTCCCTAGGGAGACACCCACTGATATCTCGCTTCCTTCGTGGCACCTTGAGGCTGAGGCCTGCAGTTTGCACGAGGGTACCAGCGTGGGATCTGGCCATCGTCTTAGAAGGTCTCTCCCTTCGAGCCCTTCGAGTAAGTTTCGTAAAAGTTTCTTACTCTAAAGACTATCGTTCTTCTATCTTATCTCTAAAAAGAATAGGAGATATTCAAGAACTTTCGGTGGCTCCCTCGTGCCTGGAATTTGCTCCTGGTTCGGTTAAGACCTTTCTCTGTCCGAGACCAGGTTATATTCCTAAGGTACTAACTATTTCTGTCAGACCTATAGTTCTGCAGGCTTTCCGTCCTCCGCCTTTTCTGGCGTCAGACCAGGAGAAACTTAATATGCTGTGCCCCGTTAGGGCTTTAGATGCTTATGTCCACAGAGCTACCCTGTGGAGAAGATCTGAACAGATGTTTGTCTGTTCTTGGGTCACCTAAGCAAGGGTGTCCTACATCTAAGCAAAGGATGAGCAAGTTGGTGGTCGAGGCAATCTCGCTTGCTTACGGTTCGGCCCATCAGCCTTCACCTTTGGCTGTAATGGCTCATTCCACTAGGAGTATGGCTGCCTCTAAAGCTCTTCTTTCAGGAGCTTCTCTTCAGGACGTTTGTGAAGCGGCAGGCTGGTCCTCACCGCACACTTTCGTCAGGTTTTTTATTCCCTTGACCTTAGCTCCACTCCCGGGGCTCAGTTTCTCTCGTCGGTTTGTGTCTCCTATTGACACACGACAGGGATTTGGTCGTATGGGGATGTGGGTATTGAGTTCCCACTGCGATTACACGCAGCGGTAGTCCCTGAAGGGGAACGTCCCGGGTTACGTATGTAACCCTAGTTCCCCGAAGGGACGGATGCTGCGTGTCCTGCCATTCTCCCGGCATCCCCTTGGGTCACTTGCTTCAGTAACTTTAAGCTGGCGGCTTGTGTGCTCAGGGGATATTTATAGCTTCCTGGTCGATGACGTCACTCACCGTACGCTCATTCTCTCCATTGACTGATTTCATTCATGCTTCAGACGCGTCACGCTG